TGTCCCTTCACATGTTTGTAAAGAGTTGCTTTAGGTATTTTGTACAGCTTTGATGCACGGTAGATTGTTACTTCTCCATTTTTGACAGCTGCCACTGCATTTTGTATGTCTGCAGAGGAGTAGGATGGGGGTACGGTTTTGCGCTTATAGTTGCGAACCATATTCTGTAATAAAACAGTTCTTACTTAAGTAAGTAAGTACTGCAGTTTTTTCAGCTTGTGCTATTAAAATTAACTTTGAATTATTGTCTATGTTTTCACTTTGAATTTTAGAATTTATTCTTTGCACAAATAATTTTAATCTTTGCACAAAATCTAATAGTTCTTCGTGCTTATTTTTATTGATGTAATTTAATTGTTGCATCAATGTTTGGTATCCTATTGGATCTCCATATTTTTCTCTAAGAGCTATTTTGATATCGGCCCAGGTTTTAAGGTCTGGCCTACTCATAATAAAATCTCTAGATTTTTCAACTAATTTAGAGCGTATAACACTAAAAACAAATTTTTTCTGAATTTCTTCGCCATTATAATATAGACTATGAAATTCGACAATTGACAAAATAAAAGATTCTAAGTGTTCTGGATTTCCAGAAAAGGTAGGTAAAATGGTTGCAAAAGATCGCAGAACGTCCATTTTATCTGAATTAATTAGGCTATTATAAGAAAAGAATTCAAGTTGCTCTTCTTCTTCCTCTGAAGATGAAGTATCAAAATTCAACTTATTATTATCACTAGATTTGCTAGTACTAGAAGATGCAAGATCTAACTCTGAGAATAATTCGCTCAAAATTAAATCGGATTTATTTTTAACAGTTTCTAGTTTTTCAGCAAGTGATAATGATTTTGTATTTTTCTTGGTTTTTAAGCCTAGTCTTTTTATATTTGAACTTAAAGCGTTTTTCAAAAGTTGTTTAGGATCAGACATGTAAAAAATATGGCAATTTTAGTAATTACTTACATAAAAAGGGGCATCAAGATGAACCATAGCATTTTTTATCAAGTTTTATCACAAAAACACACACAACTTTTAGCAGCAAAAGTTCAAATTTACGGTACTTGTCACGCACGGATATCAGTCTACTGATTTCAGAAAAAATACTTGAAATCTTAGGATCCACGGCGACACTTCGAAGAATGAAGAATTGCCAGAGTTTCACCCGGTGGAGTTTCTTTCTTCTTTCTGTGCTTTATCTGATGGCCTCAATGCTTCACAATAGAGGGGCCAAAGGATTCGGCTAGGAGTATTTGAAGTTCTTTTTGGTATAGTGCTCAAGGTATAAAGATACGCCAAATCTCAACGAAAAACGATAAAGAGACTTGTAACACTATCCTGCTCGCAGCGCCAGTTAAATACTCAAACCAGTAGAATGCTTTTTAAAAAATATTTATTTTACTAAGACTTAACTTACTGGTACAGTGTGTGACTTAAGACTAAACTTATTCTATATCAAAAGCTCCCATGAAATAATAAAATACAAAATATGCTTATTCTATCATTATGCTGAGTCGTCCAATATATTCCTGGTATTGGCAGTTTAAGTATCGGTTGATGTCTATAACTCGGGACGATGATGGAGCTATTTAAAGGATCAGAATGTTATTGCATGGGCCAGATTCAGGGTCAGAATGTAACAGGCGATAAAGCAATTTTATGTTAGATACCTAGCCTAGAATTTCCTTTTAATATTTGCTTTTTACTAATACCTTATTGGATAATTTAACTTTGTTACAATTTATATAAAACTTAATTAGCTAGTTAGTATATTCCACAGTTGATACATTTTATTTGTCAAACAAATCTTAAGTGGAGTAGACATAAATATAATTTAATATCCTAAACACAGACACTTTTATAGCATCACTTCTAATCGAACATGGGAAGACTTTTTATTCTCATGGTCAAGTATACACTTGAACGCAAAGAGCGTCTTCTTTCTCAGATTTCCACATAGGTAAAAACAGTCTAATTCGAGTCTCAGTTTCGAATAGGTTAACCGAAACCTGCTCTATACTTGTAATAATTTTAAGACTTAAAATAAAATAGTTAAAAACTTTCGGTGTGTTAAATTGTTTTCGCTGCTCATCCATCCACCCTGACAATATTTTCGTGCAGGGAAGCACGTAGAAAATACATCCCTGGTGTCATTTTTTGAGTAACACAACATTTATTAAATTTAACTAACAATGTTTGATGTTGGAAAATCTATAACTGTCTTTTGTACGTGTTATACAATTCAGAAATTTAGATGTTCTTGGTGTTCCCACTGTTGCCTATATATTTTTTTTTTCATGAATATATGGATGGAATTGTTAGTTTTTTGATTGAAATGGAGGAATTAAGAAATATATCCATTTTGGATATAAGGGGTTACTAAATTTAGATTTAGTAAAATACCTGAATACCTGATATTTAAAAATTTAAGTTCTAAATTTTTCAAAGACTAGGTACACATTTTTGTACAATTTCCTTCCTCTTTTTTATTTTCTGAATAAGCTTGTATTTATAGTTACTCCTTGTTACTAAAATATGAAAATATCACGTAATCAGCAAAAATGTTAATCAATGATTTAGTGCATCGCAGGATGATGTACTAGTACTGTCAACCAATACAATATCTTTGGAGAATGGCAAATTATATGCTCTTTGTAATAATTATTGTTGGGGCTATTTGTTTAATTAATTTAAACACAACATTGTTTAACTTATGTTTATTTTCAAGTCTGATTTGCCACTGATCATAATAACAACTCAACCTAACTTCTAACAACCAGCTGTCACTCCAGGCACAGTGGCGTACCTATATATAACTTACTACTTAAGAATAAAATCATTACACTCTTTGCATTATTTTTGGGTAGTTACTAGTTTTATCGCATTCATCTCAGGGCCGTAGCTAGAGTCAAATTAAGGATAGGGCAAGACAAATTCGACATAGGGCATACACTAGGTACTTGCCCCCCCCCCCTTAAATTTTTTATAAGTAAACAAAATGGGGCTATTTGCGCCGAAGGCAAATTTTTCAATAAATCAAGGTTCAGGTTGTATGGTAATGGGTAACTTGATGACGCATCTGATCTGGGATACCTTATAGAGATTTGCATTATGTTGAGGCACCCCAGATAAAGTTACCAGGCATCCTACCTCTCTCGCCTCTATCAAACAACCTTGCAATAAATAACATAGCTGGCAAGTAAACAAAATGGCGCGGATTTTTGCGCCGGCCGCCTGGACCATTCGCACTCTTTCAATACAAAAAAAAACTTCCTCTGTGCAAACGTCAACCATTGTTCATTAGATCTAGGCATTTTCGGAAACATTCATCCTCGTTTACTCGATTTCAGGCCTATCTACTTCAGGCATCATCTACTCTTAAATTTTCTAAAGAAACCTTAATTTATGTTGATTTTCAAAGGTAGGGCATCATCATTTAAAAGATAGGGCATTGCCCCCCAATGCCCCCCAATGCCCCCCCCCCCCCTGGCTACGGCCCTGATTTATCTCCTTCATGAATAAATTTTAAAATGTCCCCGCAATCGAATAAATTTCAATAAAGCAATGAGCGGCAAATAAAGAAAACATAGGGCACTTCTAACGGACAAGTGCAACAGGCCGTCCCGACATTCTGACCCCTGATCTAGCCCATGTAATAACATTATGCCGCTCAAAATAGCCACATCGAATTTGATTGGTCAGATTTCCGGGATATGTCTTGAGGAAAACCACCTATTTAAAATATTATTAATTTCTTTGAATCCTAACTTTTTTTTAAAAAACGTTTACTGAATAAAAATAAATATTGCAACCTTGTATGCGCCGTGAAGCGTACTGAAGGGTACCAAACCGAACAGGAGGTAGAGAAGAGGCGATTGGGCATTAGGGAGACTACAGAACGCGCTGAACTGGTCCCTTAGAAAACGTGTCGCGTGTTTTTAATTATTCATTATTCAATTTTCATTTTTATTTTGCATTAAAATTGATTGTTCAATCCAATTTGTTATTAGTGTGTGTTTAAGGAGCGTTCACAGGTTAGTGGATTAAATGTTATTTTGTTTTTGAGAGTTCAATTTATGCAAGTTCCTTTTATTTTGTTCATTTTTATGTATTTTTTGTTTCTTTATAACATTTATTTATAGCATGTGTATTGTTCATGTATTTAACCAAAATCGTTTCATACTGTAAACAACACAGATAGAGAAGTAAATTAAAACCTAAGAAATTATGTGCTGAGTAGCTTCCCGTATGGGACCTCAGTATCCGCTGGAAAACTGGCTAACTAACAAAAAAACTCTTCAGTATTGAATAAAGGTAGTGTTGATTGAATGTAGTGTGTGTAATTCAAATTTCAGCACAAGAACAAAGGATGGTACCTGATTTAAACTTTTATTGACTTAAATTATTGAACAATTATTATTAAAATTACACAGTATGTTTCGATTTTTGAGGAATGTTCGATCGAGGGTTTCTCTGCCGTTCTCTTTTTCCTCGAGAATTCTAGGTCAAGAACGGTACGATTCACTTTAATAATAAAGTAGACGTTTCACAAATTTTTCGTTTCTTTCACATATCACAACTTGCCTTAAATTTCCCAAATATTTACTATGTCAGGCGCATGTCCAGTAAGTAAAATTGAGTAAGTTTCCACAACGTAGGTCCTATTTGTTTTTTATTGTTTTTTCATTTGTTTTTTGTTTAAAAGGTAATAAAAATTCACACCGTTCAAACTTACTGAACGAATCCGGGTATGTTATCCTGCACCATGTTCGGGCAAACATTCAGAAAAAAGTTATTTACGTCATAGAAATTATCTAAAATTGAGTTACTTTTTGTTGTTTTTGATTCAGTGACTTTTTTATTAAGTTCCAGGTTGCTTGTGTTTTAATAACCCATACTTCCAGTAAGTAACGGGCAATTTGGAAATATAGTATAAAAATTTCTGGTGCAGTTGTTTTAACTCACGCAACAAAAAATAATAATAGAGTTTTGAATAATTTCATTACATTTATTATGATGTAAAATAAATACACTTGCTGTTCACTTCTCATTTAAAACATCATTCACTACCGTAATGGGATCAAAAGCACGAAACTTTTTGGTCAAACTCAACAAATCCTGAAAAATTTCACTGTTCAAATACTCGTGGCACAATACCGACATATTGAAATCCGGATTCCTACATTTTTCGTAAATTTCTGCGGCTTTTTCGCAAAATGTCGAATCACTTTCATCTTTCACTAGCAAGTGCCAAGATATTGAATTACTCAGGATTGTTTCAATTACTTCTACAGGCAAAAAGTGTATTGAATCTGTTGAATCCGTGCTATCGGTTCTGACATTGTCTGGTTGATTTTTTAACGAAGCATCATCCACAAATGAAGCTGGTTGACTTTCCAAAGAAGCTTCTATTGAATCGTTTGTTGCAAATTCTTCAGAAAATTCTTCTTCAATTTTTTCAAAAGAAATTTCTTCATCAACAGTAGAAGAATTATAATCCTTAATAACAACTCCTTCCAAATCATCTACAATTTCATCTACTAATTTACCAATTTCTTCATAAACCTCTTTATGTAAAAATTCAAGATCATTGTTACGGTTTCTAACTTCTTCTTCATGTTGGTGCATGCTTTCAAAATATTTTTCTTTGAAACTATTGCCCATATTGAAATCCCAGCAAATGGTTTTGCCTAATGATAGTGCTAAGGCTTTTGCAAAGCCTTCAACAGGATTTTGGTCTTTGCAAAAGTCCAACATCATTGCTGTATAATTTAAGCCAGCATTTTTTATATAATATAATTTATATAAGAGTTTCTTGATCTCCTTATTCCTTAAGGAATTTTGTTTCAAGTACAAATATTCAAACCATAGATTTGTTGAAAAAAATTGACATCCTTGAATTAATTCTGTTAAATTTGGATCACTTTTTACTAAAGCACTTCTTGTAAGTAACAATTCTCTTTCTGAAGGAAAATGTATTTTCAAATTATTAACAATGAAATCTTTCCAATAAACATAAGGCAAATCATCAAATAAGGCATCCACAACCTTTTTTAGTTGTGATATTTTCAATTTGTTCCAAATATTTGCATTTTCAATTATTGCATCCTGTAATATAAATAGAAAATTTGTTTTTTTAATGTAACCACTTGGACTTAAATCCAATAATATGTCTGATAACTTTGATAATTGTTCCACAGTGAAACCAACAATTTCTTGAGGCAATTCTGATATTATTTCGTCATATAATCTTAAGTCTGTTTCAAAATTAAATTCTTTTTGTAGAGGTATTTCTTTTGCAACTGTTGCATTGAAAATATGGTAAATTTGAGTGATATTTTCCATTTCATTGCAGTATTTTGTACGTATCTCGTTGGAAATGTCATGATACATTTTTTGAATTGGTTTCAAAAATGCCTCTATGGTTTCAAGAGCCCTACTTTTAACAAGCTCTATTTGTAAATGTATTCTGAGTGTTTCACCGTTTGCAGCCTTTTGCCATTCTTTAATGAGTTTTTCGGATTCTGCTTTCGTTATTGATTCTCGGGATTTTGTAATGTTTTTGATCAATTTTGAATTTCGTTTGCCAATTTTAGTTGCTTCGATACAAGTTGTTACATTATCGTTCATTAGTTTGATTGAATTTTGTATTATTTCTAGTACTTTTAGTAATAGGTTTTCAAAATGGACAATTTCGATGGTTGCAGAGGTATATTGGAATATTTTATTTATGTAATCAACACCTGAAACGAATAATAATAATTGTTATATTGTTAGTAACACCCCATGGGATAATTTTTTTTCAAGGATTGAGTGGATAGGAAAAAGACAGAAAACAAATGTATTTTCTTACCAATTTCATTGAATTTTGGAATAATCTCCTCTTTGTACATGTTCTGGTCCGTAACCAATCCGCTCAAAATTCCAGTGTAATAATCGTTAATCAAACGAATGCTTTCAATAAATCGTAGCAGTTCGATTTGTAAAATAGTGACGTAGTTATTGAGTATTTCCTTGACTTGACCAGACGCCCAATTTTCACTAATAAGGCCTCGTCGCATGTCTTCCGATTCCATCATTTTCAAATCGCTCACTTCTGATAGTTTTTCTATGAAATTTTCAATCCTACAAAAAAGTTAGATGAATTGTAGAAGTTCAGATAATACTACCGATGTCGTCAGACTGTTTTTTTTTTTTTAAATACAGGTTAAAATCTATTAGATTCATGGCAAGAAAAAATGTTTCCTGAAAACGAGGAATAAAAGTGCCACCCAAATTCCTTTTTTACTTCAAAGATATTTTTAAATCCCCTTTTTCACTATAATGTTTTCTGAACTTCTTCCCATCATCTTTCAGAAGATGAAATTGTAATGAACTATAAAAATCATATAAAGATAGTTCCTCAAGTCAGTGTTGGCAACACAAGCTTTTTCCGCGTAGAAAAAAGTATTGCCAATTTTACATTGTATTGCCAATGTGATGACCCGAGAAAATAGACCCGTAATTTACAATGTCGTAACTGTAAAAATTAAATGTAATCAAATAATCAGAAACTGAATTTCCTGTATTTGAAATCAGTATCAATAAACTGAAAATGAAACAAATTAGCGTTGACCCCAAATTAATTAAAATATTAATATACGTTAAAATTTTATTATTTAGTTACCAAGCGTGATGTCATCACCTAAATCAAATTCATAAAAATATTAAAAGCGAGGCCAAAGTAATTAAATAGGTGATTTATGGCCGCACGTGTTTTTCGGCTTTATTTGTATTGTCCTCACATTCTTAAACCAAATCTGTTGACCCCGATAAACCAGGAAATTGCGACATAAATATTCGATTTTAAACAAATAAAAAAGGAAGGTTAATGAATGATGAACAAAGAAATTTTGGAGGAATCGAATAATATAATACAGCGGTTTTAGAAAAATCAGTTCAGTTGTTAGTATTCAGCCTGCAATCCAGTTTTGAGTTAAAAGTCTACAAAACCTAATGAGTCAGTCCGGATAAAATTCGCGAAGAGTTTCTTTTATTTTGTTGCCTCGGGAAAACGCGTTCGATCGAATATTTGAAAAGGTACGGAAAATTGTGAAAGAAAGAACGTTTAAAGTCGTTCAACATTATGTGCGAGCTCTAGAGATTTTTGAAGTAAATTAATTAAGTAATTTTACGAGTGAAAAGTTAAATGTAAGTACTGTAGTGACTAGTGAAACTTTTTGACTTTATAAATTATGAATGATAAGAAGTAAATTGACATTGAACTTTAATGCATAAAACTTGAGTGATTTGACTGTAAAAACTTTTATTTTTAACCATATATGTAATGTTGACATTACAGACTTTTTAAAAATTTGAAAATGTCTTTTTATTGTCCTTTCATTTCCCTGCTCCACTTCCCGTCCTCCTTTCCCGTCCTCACTTCCCATCCTCATTTCATTATATTTATGTGACAGGTATTGTCAAGTTTTTTTCACGCTACGGATTGTAATATACTATATATACTATATTGCACAACTTTAATTGCCTTCGAGTATAATGACATTTTAATTAATTTTGCAAAGGATAAAAAAATAAAGGATAGGTATAATCCTTATTAATTCATTTAAATTTCGCATTTTTACTTAGCCAATCAGATAGCGTTTTTCAATTACGTGATTTTTCGTTTAAATTTTTAGTTTTTATTTATCAATTTATTTACTAATCTGACTGAAATCTTGCAAAATATTGTTCATTCTCGGTTGCATTGATCTATCTGTGTCAAAAAATATCATAATTTGCCATATTCCCGGCACGTGAAAGTGGCCCATTGATCAGATAGGTACTGTGTTAGTGGAATTCGCATAGTATTCGAAAATCAAGAAATGGCAGTGGACCCAGTGGTCGTCTATGTGTAAAGTACAACCTACCACAGTTGTATAAAACAAATGATTTTCTTGTTCAAACAATCCTTCAAGATATAGAAACCTGCACAGAAAAATGCTTAGTTATATCAGAACCATGTGATAAAGATGTATTCGAATTGTGTAATATCATTTTGGAAGACTTACATCTTTCAAAATGTTACCTTACCAGGTAGTTAATTTGATTTGTACAAGGTTATTCACTATACGTCGGCCAATCATACTTAAGAGGTATATCGTTGAAACAAGAATAAAGTGCGCTTTCCAAAAATGACATAAAAAATCCAGGTCAGTATTTGAAAAAATGAAGTTGATGATGGTAGCTCGATCACGAAACGTCAAATTTGAAATTTGAAGATGCCATGTTGTAAAGCGATAAAAGTTATAAAATTTTCAAATTTATATTGTGTCCCGAAAATCAATAGTTTTCGAAATAATTGATGAAATAGTTTTAGGCGTTTTTTAGAAATCACCCTGTATTTCCTAAACTAAAAGGAATTTGGCAACATTGTAAACGAATCTTGAATGGGCATCAAAAAAGGCAACTTTTTTCTAATATAACCGACCTCGTATCTTTTACCGTTTCGGAGATAGCAATAGTGGTATCACTTAAAACGGACACCCTGTAGTGAGGCCAAAAACTTAGCCATGTCATATTGGTTGCATTGAAAATTGTTTCCTGGTTTATTTAAATTAATTTAAAATTTAAACATTTTTTGCCCTTGTCGAATTGTTGGTCTCTTTCTCCCATGACGTCACTACGCGGGCATGCGCAAAGCAGTTGTAAACAAATCCATCAACATATGCAATTTTGTGAGGTTATGTTGTTTTGTTATTATTTTGGATTGTCGTCAGTGTTGCCAACTTGGTAAAATAGTTACCAGATCTGGTAATATCGATCCCGGTTTTAGTAATGAAGATTTTCAAAATATATCTAGTAATATTTCTGGTAATTTGACAGCAGGGTAACAGTTTTATCGTTTCATATATTTTTAGGTCAGCGAGAGACAGTTATTGTGGGTGACGATGCTATTGGGTGTGTGCAGTTGAAAAGAGACAGCAGAATATCCTCTGTTAGGAGCATTGCCAGATGGAATAAGCAAAGAATTTGTGATTGAAGTTGAATGTCCTAGCAAGGAGGAGACTGTGAAAAACTACATTAAGAAAAATGAAAATATAATGAAGAAATACATGTGCCAACTTCAGTTACAATTGTTATTGTGTAACGGACAAAAAGGACTGTTTTGTGTGGCAAGTCCCAAATTTGGAGAGGATAATGAAGTGACAATCAGTGTTGCCAACAATATGAATGGCCATTTTACCAGATTATAAAATTTGGAATACCAGAATATTACTAGATTTTTCTCAATCCTGCCAATACCAGAATATTACTAGGTCTTTGTTGCTAAACAAAAATTGTGCTAAAATTTTTAGATTTCATTTATTTATTTTAAGTTTTTTTTTGTTTTTTTTTTCGTTAGGCTTAAAATAAAAATGCAATAACAACAATAGTATGGAAAAATAAAATTTATTCAAATAAAATAACACTGCATACCTAATGTTACATCAGGTTACCTATAAACAAATACATTATTGTAAAAAAAATCCATTCTGTATAACATAACTCACATTACAGATATTGGTAAACATACAACATACAACATACAACATACTTACGTCCGGTTTGTTCATCTTCAGATAAGCTCCTTGGTAACTATCTGCAAGAAACGGCAACAGCGACGGACGTTTGGATATTTACTCTCTGAAATAAGTGAAATAATCGCTTCTAGTGAAGTAATAAATTAATAAATTTGGTATCTGTGAAACGTGTGTATAATTGTACAACCGTGCAGGTTGGATTTTTGGCTAGATTAGCTAAGGAATCTTCAAAACGTGATACATACTGCAGCTTTGTTTACAAATTCTTGCTACAGCGCTGCCAGGTTGACCCGATAAAGCGCCGCGCCGAATAATAATAATGGTTGTAGAAAACGAGCTGTGTGATATTCGCAACAACAAAGTGGGTGACCATGAGGAAGGCCTTTTGTGCGAAGATTGTCTCATATGGAAACATCGAGTATGTTTAGATATGTCCAAAAAAACGTATGTTAAAATCAGCAAATCCAAGGAAAAATGGCTATGTGATGATTGCAAGAACAAAACAAACAACAAAGCGCGTCAAGCTACAAAACAGTACACAATTGCAGATGTCATGGAGAAATTAAACGACATGGATAGTAAATATCAAACCCTGTTTGAAAAATACAACCAGCAAAAAATAATAAATGATGATTTAAAAAATGAGCTACAGCGCATACAAAACCAGCTAAATACAATGGAACAGAAGGAGTTAAACAACAACGTTATCATACACGTAGTACCATACAACGATGATGAAAATATCCGTGAGATCGTCAAAAACATCGGTAACCAGCTGCAAGTACCGTTGGGCGAAGAGGAGTTTTCCGCAATCCGTGTTGGCAGAAATGATCGAGGAAATGCCACTAGAATCAACCCAATCAAGGTAATATTTCGAAGTGGTGAGATAAAAAAAACTCTCATGAAGTCACCTAAAAAAGTCAATCTGGATGCAGGAAGATTGAAGCTAGGAGGTAACAGCAGAATATTCATAAATCATGTGGCGTGATGTTTTACTGATAATTTATAATTCTTGACTTTAATAGTTGAAAACACATACTGCAACTTTTAATTCACTTTTAACTGGATTATTACTTCAGTGGACTGTATATTTTAATAATAAATGAAAATACTGATTGATTAGACATCACTTTATTAACATCTTTTCTTCTGAGATGCGTACATTTTGACGTTGGCTGACCAAGTGGCCAAGAAAGACACCCGATTTCCTAATGTCGCTTCAATTCTCTATACCCCTCTAGGGAGAAAACTTTTCATTGGACAAGGAGAAGGCTTTTCATTGGACGTTGCGCAGCGCCACGCACGGAACAAGTTGCAACAACTAATAAAACGAAGAGTTTCATTGGCTGTCGCGGTACATACTTCCGTTTACTACGCCGTTTGCGCGGTAAATTTAAATTTACTTATTAGTTATTGCAACATATACCGCCCTCCTTGAAAGTACCTACTTTTAATATAACAATATAAAAACAAATACTTACACGTTTGAAATTTTAGAAAATAAAACTAAAACTACAAAATTATTTCGTTCACTACAAAATAATAAACTACCTATAACTATGA